ATCTGTTTCTGCGCTGGTGCGACACCAGAGCATCCATCCCTTTAGAAATGACCATACCCGACATCGCGACCGTCATCCGTCTATCAGACAAGTTCCAAGCTGAAGGCATTGCTAGTCGCATCGCACCCCATCTTTATCGCTTCATCGAGTCTGAACCACTCAGTGTGTATGCGATAGCAGCTTGCCATGCGTCTTTCACCCATGATAATGCTACTTGGGGAAACGTTTTAGCAAAGCGTGCTGCTAAGCAGCTTCTGATGTTATCAATGCCTTTCCGGCCACCGATTTATGAATTTTTCAAAACTGTGCCTGCGATAGTTCTGGAACCTCTGTATCAGTACCATAGGGCGTGCGGGATGTCAGTGCGAGAGAACATTCAGAAGCACCACATACGTTGGTTATCTGACAGAACAACGTGGCCTTGGCTCAGTCAATGCACTTGTACGACTCAAGGTCGAATTCCTCAGGTGCCCGACTGGTGGAGGGCGTACTTGATGCGCTTATGCGAGCTGCTTGAGAATCAACCTTCAGCTACAACCATTCTTGCGTTGAACTCAGACGATGATCTGATGTCAGTCATCACTCACTCCTGCCATTGCACACTGGGGAACGGCAACATATGTTCCGCAAAAGCTCTTCACGATGCCGAGCGTTTTCACGTCGGTCTTTCAAAGTACATACAGGAGGCCGTTGATAAGGTCTGCCATTTGTCTCAAATCAAAATCGACGAATGGCTTACTCGTCCACCTAGATTGTCCTTGATTTCTCCAAAACGAAGATGAAATAGTCTCATTCAAACATTGACCCGAAGCACCAATCCGAGAAACTGTGTACAGCGGCAGGATTCAGGAGCAAGCAAGAGATTAAACTTATTGACCGCTAGCTCAATCCACGAGTCGAACCCGTAAAATTTACTCTCAGACTAGTCATTGATAATCAAAAGCTCACAAAATCGCCTCGACCTGAGTGATGTATGTCGATTTATTGATATATCTACATCTACGCCATAAGTTGCTTTGACTCGTGAGACATGATCAATACGTCATATTATCTCTTCGACATGTTGAAGCCACTTATTAGCCTTCAACTTCTGGGAAAGTGTATACGAGGCGAACAAGATTCCTTCTGGAATCCACCCAGATTGGAACCCAAAATCACTTTAAAGACTCCAATGTAAGCTTGCCTTTCAGGCAAATCGTTTCGCTCACCATGCTCAGTATTTTCTGGCTTGCACTCGGCAAACCCTAAGACCAATATCACTCCGAGTACTCAAACAGACTCCATGTCTCCTGGGACTGCTCCAGCAGGCGCTCCCTACTGGCGCGAACTGATCAAACATCAGGGAACATCACCATTCAACCCAAATACTACTTACATGGTATACCGAAACGTCAAGGACTATGGTGCGAAAGGCGACGGAATTACAGATGACAGCGCAGCGTTCAAGTTGGTACTGACGTTCAATTCTACGCATTACTCATCGCTCTTATCTAGTCTTGCTATTTCCGATGGTGGACGCTGCGGAGGCGGAAAGTGTCAATCTTCTACGTATACGCATTTTTTTTCCAAACATTCGCGTATCTTGATGCATTTGCTGCGGCAGAATCACACCAGCATCAGTGTATGTCCCTAAAGGGTGAGCGATGCACGGGAGGATGATAATACGTCGAACTCACCCCGACCCCCTCCAGCGTTTATCTCTTGAAGAAGGCCATCACCCCATATTACATGACACAGCTGCTTGGGGATCCTAGAGACCCCCCGACTCTGCTGGCTGATGAATCTTTTCGTGATTTGGCAGTGATAGGTTAGTAGGTTCCCTAGAACTGTTTCTAGTCATACACACTATATGATACCTCTAGACGCGGATCCGTACATACCAGGTGGAGGAGGCGCCCAATGGCGAGTTTCAATAAAGCCTATCAAAATTCAGCTTGCTGCTGAGAACTCACTTAAAGTCTAGGTTCATCAATCAAAACAATTTGTGAGAACGGGACCATCGTTATCGTATGATCTTGCTTTCATCCGAAGATTTGTCTAGCTACCGGACAGTGAAGAATTTCATTATCGATGTCCGCAGGTGAACTCTCCGACACAGTTTACATCTTTATGTTCACTGATTCACGATAAGGGTGCCCGCTACTGTATCACAAGGAACTGGAATCCACTGGCAGGTGGCTCAGGCCACCAGTTTGCAGAACATCAAGTTTTACATGTCGGAAGATCCTAACACAGCTCATCAAGGCATTTGGATGGAAAATGGAAGGTTAGAATAATTCCCAAGTATCTCAAAGTCACGACTTCACGATGAAATCGCAGTGGAGGCTTCATGTCAGACCTCACATTCTATGGTGGTAAATTTGGAATGTGGGTCGGAAATCAGCAGTATGTGTTCAATTTTGATTTCTACGTTGTGCTTTCATGATATCCTTCGCAGATTTACAGTCCAAAACGTTACCATGAACAATTGTAAAACCGCAGTGTTCGGAATCTGGAATTGGGGCAAGTTTGAGTACAATATAGCAGAACGCTGCAATCGAAATTCATTTTGACAGGTTGGACGTTCCAAGGAATCACAATTAACAATTGCAATGTAAGTACCCAAACGCTGGATAATCGCCAGACTACTGGATGATACTGGCACCCTTTAGGTCGGGTTTGACCTCCTAACTGGAGGAACAACTACCGCCACTCAAGTCAGTACTGTTCCTTATATCTCAAGACATCAATGTCAACTCATTGCATCCAGAGCGTTGGTTCCGAAACGATCGTTGATGCTGTGGTTAATAATACAGTTTACTTCGTTCGCTCGTCAAATACTAGCAACCGTCACCTCACCGGCTCACTTGTCCTAATCAATATCCAGCTCAACAACGTATCTGTTGCTGTCAGCGCCATCAACCAAACCAAGCCCCTGCTGGCTGGTACATCTGGCGTAATGAAAATTGCGGCGTGGGGACAAGGAAACGTATATAAAGGTTCCAATTCGAACTCTTCCTACACTCAAGGCTACATTCAAAATCCTCAAATATCCAAAAGTCTACTAAACAGTGATGGCAGAATCGTCAGCAAAAGTCGTCCTCAGTACGAGGATTACTCTTTGGACGAGATTGTTAGTGCGAAAGATTACGGAGCCAAAGGAGATGGCAAGGTGAGAGCTGTCAACCATTACTCCTCGAAATACCGTTCAAACAATCGTTTTTCAGACAGATGACACAGATGTACTTCAGGCGCTTCTAAATGAGGTAGATAAGTGTGATATCATTCAGGACAGCATCCTCATATATATCTTGTTCCAGTCCGCCAACAAAAAGATTATCTTCCTCGATGCTGGTGTCTATCTCATTACGACAACACTGTTGATACCTGCCGGTACTCGCCTCACAGGAGAAGCATGGTCCACCATTTGTGCCACAGGCTCATTTTTTGCGAACGCGGAAAATCCACAGGTTGCTGTTCGGGTAGGGGCACAAGGATCCGAAGGTATTGTGGAAATTACCGACATTCTGTTCTCTACGAAAGGAGCGGGTCAGTATATATTGTGTTTTGAGTTCTTACTACCTCTCTTATTCGCTCTGAAGCTCCTGGCGCAATACTTGTTGAGTGGAATATCCGAGATCCTGCAGGTGAACCTGCTAGTGCCGGCTTGTGGGATACTCATTTTCGGTGTGTGGCTTCCTCTTATTTTGAGCGCTTCAGCTGAAAACAGAATATCTAGCATTGGAGGAGGTGAATGTCGCGGTATGAACTTCAAATAGAACGCTCATTGACTTGACGCAGCTGCTGGAACTGAATTGCAGCTGGCGGAATGTCCAGCCAAGACAAACAATGTCAACGCCTGCACTTCTATCTTTCTATCTCTTCATATCACTGAGAGGGCTACAGCGTATTTAGAGGTATGTAAGTTTCACTTTATGCTGAATGTTTTATCATTTTTTTCTTTCCTATAGTCGACGTAAGCACACTTCCATCTTCTGGTTCTTGCGAAATTTTGAAATGTTCCTTCCTCGATCAGCTGGATATGGGTCGCAGGTAAGAAACAGTTCGTTACTTGCTCGTCAAGTGTCTGATGTCCTATCGATAGATCATACTTTGGACGAGGACGGCGTCACGCAGTTGGAAATATACGCGGGACGGGGAATATTATCGCAATCACTAGGTCCGGTATGGATGATTGGGACATGTAAGTGAAGACTCTTAGGATAGACTTTCAGGTACTGACAGAACTCAGCATGTTAGTGAAATGCCAACATAATGCGGAACACATCTTATAATCCCTCAATCCTAGCGGAACATCACGTCATTTACCAGTATCGCTTTGCGAACGCGGAGAATCATTATCTTGGTTTCGTACAAACAGAAAGTGTGAGTCGAAGAATTGTCCAAATCTCAACCTCCTTAGTGTTTGCTGACTTGTACTTTAATTAAGCCATACCAGTAAGTCCGTGCAACATTCGTTATATAGACATTTTCTGAAACATTCGCGAAGCCAACCCAAACCGCCCGCACCGTACCCTTTCTCCCTGAGCGAGCCTTTTGCAGATCCCACATTCCCACCTGATCTTAATTCTGCTTGGTCTTTAAGCGTAGCGAAATCTAAAGGGATAGTTGTCCTTGGTGGGTAATCGAATCTCTGGCATAGGAAACAGGTTTCACAGTGTCGCGTCTGTTCAGGTGCTGGATTTTACAGTTTCTTCAACAACTACGACAACAGCTGCAGTCAGAACAAGGCCTGTCAGTCTCAAATTACTGACATTGACAGCGAATCGAATGTTCAGCTGTATTCTGTTTCGACTGTTGGTGTTCAGTATCCTATCTCTGTGAATCAGAAAGGTGTTGCGTTGCGGCAGGACAATATTAATGGTTTTGCAGAGACTGTCACCGTCTGGACTTCCTCTTGAGCTCATGATACTAGGTAGTTGTGAACATGTAGTAAGTAGAAAGCCTGTACTTACAACGGGACGCGGATTCATTATTTCTGTACCCCGATTTTCGATATTGGTTCAGTGGTCTAGTGGTTATGATTTGTGCTCCACCCTCACAAGGTCCCCGGTTCGACACCGGGCTGAACCCATTTTTTCAGGAAATTTTTGCCAGTCACCTGTCGTTCTATTCAAGCTCTTTTGCAGTAACCAATTCATGTTCTTATCTATGAACATATGTATGGCTCTGTGAACATCCCTGGGAACAGCGGGAGGCCTTATCATCTCAGAATCCGGTATAAAGCTCGCTGCTCTTTCCACTGAGATATTTCCCAAAATCTAGATGGCTACACAAGCAAACTCTGTGCCCCATCCAATTCTCGTGGAGGTTTGTGGTTGTTGAATGTGGCAACTCAAGTATATGTTCTTATGACTTTTTCCCACTACCAGGTAGATCCTTTCTTGTAAGTTGCTAACTGCTAACAGTAGTAGTCCGATCTCATGATAACCTATTTGTAATTTCAGACCAGCAGATCAGCAGAAGGTGAGTTCCTTTCTTATGATCTTGGTCGTTGATACGGCGATATTGATGTTACCTCGAAGGGCCTCCATAATCGTTGGCAGTACGCATGCGCTTATTTCACCTAGTAAATATGCTTTACACTCAATGAAACTGATGGTTGCAGTCCCGATATCCCAGCATATGCGTCTGTGAAACCAGGACAAGTGAGCTCTTTCGAGTTGGTACCAAATTGAGAGGCGCATTAAATCTTTATATCTCAGGTATTTAAAGTTCAATGTGTTGGTCAGTTCTGTGTTTTAGATGCCCTCGGATCTCGGTTCATACAAACGACTAATCCAATGTGGTACGCCTAGACTGGACTGGGGCTCAAATTGGTAACAATGACTGTAAGTGGACCACTGTCCGTAGACCACAGGTCAAAGATTGTAAGCTAAATGCTAGTACACAGTCAGTGACGATATCAAGAACATCGATTTGACAAAGATTCACAATTTGTCTGGCCCTATTGCTGTCGAGGGAGCAGAACCTGGAGATTGTTTGGTGGTCGATATCTTAGATGGTAACTATCACGAGCTCGGTCTTCAATCAGAAGAACTTCAAGAAGCTTAGATTCTGTGTCTAGTGACTCCCTTCGAGAAGATGCCGTGGGGATATACCGTCTGTCACGATAATAATCCTACTCAGCTAGTAATGACAAAAAATATCAGGGCATATTCGAGTTAGAAAACGGCGGTGGTCTGTTCGGTAAGTATTTTACTGCTTTGTCTTGCAAAAATATTTCTCAATCTTTCATAGCCAGAGAATTCAACAGCAAAGCCGCGAAGGCCATCTGGGATTTTAAAGGTAGGTAACGACTAGAAAAGAGAGCTAGTGCCATCCAATTGATTACAATCCTCAAATAGGGATTTATGCTACATCTAGGCACATTCCGGGAGTGCGCTTCGCTGGAGTTTCCCATCCTGGTCTTATCGGAACCGCCCCGTCGGCGGAGCTTCTTGCGACTTGGAATGAACGTGAAACAGGCCTTATTGCCCAAGACCCTAGCGCAGTACCAGCTTTGGCTTTTGCTCCTGAGACCAAAGGTGCCTATATCGGCCAAGACCTCGACCCGGCAGTCGAAAACAAAATCAAGTCTGAGGGAGCCAGGACGATCCCTGGTAGAGAACATGGGGGTAATTGTGATGTAAGCACATCCAATTCGCATTGGTGTTCAATCTACATACCCTTATTTTTTTTGGTAGATCAAGAATCTTTCGAGGTCTCGTGCCACTCTTAGCACTGAGTATAGCGGTCTTAACTAATATCGTGCAGAGGTTCTCGATGCTACTTCCCTGTTTTTATCGAAGGCGCGAATCTTTCCGTTGGAGACTTACATTTTTCTCAAGGAGATGTGAGGAGCGCATTTTATCCGTTCATATTTGCTACTAAAGATTCTTGTTCTTCAAGGGAGAGGTAAGGGAAAATTTCAAGTCCCCCCTTCGAATGATGTTGAACTTGATTGACTCACCCTAGATGTCATTCTGCGGTGCCATCGAGATGGTAAGTTTTCGAATGTGTCATTGCTCGTCTAGAGAGATTGATGGTGCATTTAGGCAGGTATCATTACTTTGAGCACTAGTATCATCAAAGGAGGTGTGGAAAAATTCGCCTTGAAACAGCCTATCTTCCTGGTCAGTATGGTGTGGCAATGAACTTACCTGGTGTATACTCACACACTCTGTATAGCCATCGCCCGTAGATCCCATGTACTCGGCTAAGGTATGCCTTAGTCGTACTTTTGACGCATACACTCATATCCAATCTCCTATTCAAAACGCAAGCTCATCTTTGAAGGGATCAGTGTCGATTATCGTTTGTTGTCTTCATTGTTTGCACTACGATACTGCTGAGTATATGCACATTCAGATGGTGATGGGAAACAGTATAATATGGACGCGTGAGTGTCTTAACTTCTGTGTTCTCACGATTGGTTCTAATACAGTCAATGAAACTGTAGCACAGTGGCCTATAAACAGGCGGCTTTGAACACGATTGCTTATTTGATGAAGGTGTGTCTACCCAACAGGAAGTAAATTATCAGCAATCTTGACATGCATTTAGATTGGCTATAGTGAGTCAGACTTATCATAGATTTGGGGAGGTTTGAATAAATTTTCATCCGATTTCTCATATACTTAAGCTCGTGAACAAGCATGTGAGTTCTCTGTCATTGGTCCATCTCGAGGCTGACTTGTTCGTGCTAGATCTCTTACTCTCAGCTGCTCCGGTTGAGAGCCATGTAGGAGCTATCGTCGTAAGTCTTCATTGCTGTCCCTGTCTTCATGCTGTTAATAAAACTTGATTAGGATTCACCCAATGCTTGCGTTACCTTGGCTTTACCTTTGGGGATATTTGAGCATGCAAGTATCGTTAATCGTTGGGAAACTTCAAGAAGCTGAAACTTTCTGCGACAGGATATACTACCAAAGGAAGAAGGTCTGAAGAAACTTGATTTTGGGCAGTGCGCGATACGGAGCGATGGAGTTGTTTGAACAAGCAATGAGCTAATTTGGTCTGACAGTCACCATGAATTTCCAAACGTACCTGATAATGTAACAACTACAGAATGAAGAGCTTGATTGACATAAAACAACAACAGCATTGAAGTTTTTGTGATGCAATAATTTAGTGTTTGTAGTTATACATCCATTGTATCCAGATTCATCCCTCCACATTTCCTATATGACACCTCACTACTTCGGATCAGATCTTCAAAACGTACCAATGTTGTCAGGGATCTTGAAATCACACCCAGTTTTCGCTTTGAGATCTTCAATCGTCGTCCCCTCCGCAACGTCAACGAGGGTAAGGCCGCCGTTCTTTCTGTCAACATCGAATACCGCTAATTCGGTGACGATAGTGCTGACAGTTCGAGCGCCAGTGAGTGGGAGAGCACATTTAGCCAATATCTTAGGCGAGCCGTCTCTTGCGCAATGTTCCATAACGACAATGACCTTAGTCTTGTCTGGATTAGAGACGAGGTCCATGGCCCCCCCAATGCCTTTGACCATCTTTCCTGGAATCATAAAGTTCGCGATGTCACCGGCTGACGAGACTTCCATAGCCTAGATAGGAAATGACCGACGTGAGATTAGAGATCCAGAATAGCTGAGTGGGGTCGTACACCGAGGATAGCGACATCAATATGTCCTCCACGTATCATAGCAAAGGATTCACTAGAGTCTGTAACATAGATTCATTAGCTTAACACATTCTGGGAAGAGGATACAGTAACATACCGAAGCAAGATGCGCCAGGCAGAAGGGTGATCGTTTCCTTTCCAGCATTGATCAAATCACTGTTGGAAAATTCATAGTGTATGTGGCAATTTTGGGATGGACCACTTACGCATCAAGTTGTTCTTTAGTAGGGTATGGTCCCATTCCGAGTATACCATTCTCACTTTGAAGCCAAACCTTGACATCCTTGGGAAGATGTTCCGGAACCAGTGTAGGCATACCAATGCCAAGATTGACATAAAATCCATTCCGAAGTTCCTTTGCGGCTCGTTTAGCAATACGGTTGCGCAAAACCTGGGCGGCGGCTTTTTCTGGTGAAAGCTCTGAAGCAGACTTTTCTTCTTGTCCAGCTTGAGAAAGAGTAACGATTTCGATGTGTTTTGGAACGGTCGCTTTGACAATACGGTCAACGTATACCGAAGGCAAATGAATAGCGTTTGGGGAGATGGAACCGACAGGAACAATTTCCTCAGCCTAACAAGGAGCATTAAAATTTGAGTATAATCACCCGTGACATGCGTACTTCAATAATGGTCAACTTAGCGTTCTTAGCCATCGGTGTGCTAAAGTTTTGAGATCCGTAACTAACAAGAATGTTAATAAGTTTCAACAGTCTTTTCGTTTGTGCTACTTACCGGAAAACACAGTTTCCGATCTCGTCGACCTTCCACGCATGAACAAATGCAACGTCTCCTGCAATGGAGGGTTCTAGGACGTATTTCTTACCATTGATTACTTTGGTCTCCTTTGGAATACCAGGAATAGCAACGCCGGCACTGACACCGCCAGGATTGTATCGAATGGGGATAGTACCTTCCTCTACGGCAGTAGATGCACCGGTGGGAGTAAAAAATGCAGGTATACCTGCAGCGTGGGCGCGAATTCGCTCCGCAAGAGTACCTTGAGGAACTAGCTCAAGAGAGATCTTTCCTTGCAAGTAAAGGGCTTCGAACTTTTTGTTACTGAGTAGACAATAAGTGAACTGTGACGCGATCAACCGTTCACATCAAACACGAACCCTCCAGGATAAGACGCGATTATTTTCTCGAGTTGCTCCGTGTTCAGTAGTTTACCTATCAATACGAGTTAGCACGACAGAGATCGCGTATCCGAACATATATGACTAAATGGGAAGCTATTTCCCATGTGAGGACCCAACACACCTAAACCGGAGTCTCCAGCACCAGCGTTATTCGAGACACCCACGAGGTTAGTAACTTCGTTCTTTCGCTTGGCTAGTGCTCCAAGTAGTGTGTCTAGTCCATGTCGGATCGTTAATCACGGGGCGCGAACACTGAATACCTTGAGATATAATTACCAGGAATACCCGCGAGTCCGAATCCTAGATGA